CCGAGCGGGGCACGAGTTTCCCTGTGGCCCGGCCCCGCAGTCCCCTGGCAGCGTGCTTTAACCGGCACATTTGCAAGTGAGATGCAGAGAATACCTGCAGGAGCTCGGGTGACTTTTAATCTTTTATTGCGGCACCGGGAAGGGATGCGGGCAGCCAAGGAAATCGGTAGCTACAGCCTCTAAAATGCCTTGTCTGTCAGTGATGAACCCTTGACCGTTGATATGTGCGTGGGAAAGAACCTCCACGTTTAAGAAATAAATGATTCGCTATTACTTTTTTCTTAATGTACTCATTGACCCTTTCTGTCACGTAGCAATTATTTTATTCTAGTCCCCCTTGAAAGTGAGGGATTTGATAGCCTTGTCCTCTGACACACCTTCTAAAGATATAAAGTATCAGGCATTCCTCTTTCCTTCTGAAATCCTCCTGTATCTCAAGTCCATCAGTGTCCATGAGAAAAACACAGTGTATTCCTAATTTAAATTCAGCTGCTGCTTCTTAGAAAGGAGTTGAAAATACCACTTTTCTATGATGTCTGTCTTTGTGATAAACCAGGGACAAGTGAAAGAAGCATTAAAGATTCTTTCTGCTCTAAGGGACGTTTTGTTCTGCTGCTGTTCTTCTTGGCCCTGCTTGCTTGTTTTTTAAGCACAGAAACTTAAATGCAATTTTTTCATCTTTAGAATTTCCCTGACAGTTCAAGATTTCTGATTCAGGTATGGCCCTACATCACATCTGACCCCTAAAGGCCATCTTTGAGCTTGTGACGCAGGCCAGAAGGAATTGAACTAAGACCAGGAGATGCGTTTCACATAGGCAGCAATTTATCTTCTGCTAATAAAAAATTATGGTCTGTACTATTATTCTAGTTTTGACGTAATTGTGGAAAACATTTGAATTCATGTTCTCTGTGTTAGAGAATTATTTTTTTTCGTTTTTCTTTTATTATTCTGGATACCATTTGCAAATATTTAGTCCAAAACACACAACATTTGTTATTTGTTTTCAGGATGCTGTGTTTAATACAGTATACAGACATTTTAAATGTTTGTAAAATGTGAAAATTACAATTAAACAAACTCTTATACACTAAGCAGAAAATTTAAATGGGTCTTTTAAAATAAATCTCCAAAATCTGGAAATTTTGTAGCTAGTGTTTTGCTTTTGTCTTTATCTCTCTTAAACAGGTTGCATTAAAGTAAAACTTTGCTGCTATGAATAGAGCTTGTTAACATGAAACTCACTGGAATCCTCTGCATCCCAGAGCGCTATGGAGCAATTTTCAACATGGAGGAGAATTGTTACATGTGTCTGGTAACAGAAGACAGTATTTCACTGACAGAAAACTTACACTGAGTGGAGTGGAAACACCCTGGCGCCAAACCTGTAACTCCAAAGTGAACAGAAATGCTGGAGCATTGAATGAAAAAAGTATGAGAGCAGTGGTGACAGGAGGCGGAGGCTATTTTGGGTACAAGCTGGGATGTGCTCTTGCCACTGCAGGAGCTTCTGTTGTTCTGTATGACATACACAAGCCTATCTGGGAAATTCCCAATGGAGTAGTGTGTATCCAGGTATGATAAATTATATCTTCATAACAGTCAAAGTTAGTTCATTTGCCTTTTCCATTATGTCTTACTAGTTTTCACAGAATCCAAATACCTAACTGCAAATTATTGCAAAATACAATAACCTTTTTAACTGTGTGAATATCCCATATGATTTTTGGTCAACTGATTTTAGTATATCTGAAATAAGGAAAACAATGAAACCTGTAATGTGTAGCACGGAGTACCCACCTAACCTCCTGACTCTGAAGTACTCCTCAGGACCCAGTCACTGCCCTCATCTGTGCCTTAGTTAAATACCTGTAGAATGAACCTAGGGGTGTATTACAAGGCTTAATGAATGTTTTCAAAGTCCTTTTAAGTCCTATGGAAGAAAAGTATGATTATCAGCAAGTACTGAAATGGGCCTAGTTTGCAGTCCCAGGATGTACAGTAAGTACAATTACATATATGCATTCCTTCTGCACTAACCCACCATGTGACAAATGCTAACCTGCACCTTTGATTTCAAGTCCAAATATCTTTTATTATGTATTACAGGCAGATGTCAGGGATTATGATGCCATATTTGCAGCCTGTGAAGGGGCTGACTGTGTGTTTCATGTAGCTTCATACGGAATGTCAGGAAGAGAGCAAGTGAGTCCAAATAGCTTTTTTTTTTTTTTTTTCTGTGTGACTGCCCACACTGAGGATGAGAGACTTGATGCTGGAACACTGCATGTTAGCTTTTATCTCTTCACGTTACCCCTGGAGCCTGAATCCATGCCCATGCTATTTTGGTAAATTGCTCTGTGCAAAGTGGTGTGCTATCTGCAAGCAGTCTGCTTACAGCACTGTTTTCCTAGTTGGGAAATTATTTCCTCCCCATTAGAGGCTCCACCAGCACCCTGGGAGGGCTTTTGAGTTGGAAATGGCATCAAAGAGTTCCAAAGTAGTGTGAGGACAAAAGAAATGACAAGGGAGGCTGGTTCCTTCCAAAACCCTGATCCTTCCCTAAACCTTTCGCATGGAACTCCTAGCTATAAGGTCACTGGGAGGAATAAAACCTGAACTAAATTATAAATTATTTTATATAGCTAAATTATAACAATGGCTGTGTTTCAAGTCTTAATTGTTTGCTGTTGGGTAAAAAGCTGTAAGGATGTACTTGATGTAGGACCCTGAGCCACAATTTCTATGATTACAGTTACAAACACACACTCCTCCTTTCTTACCTTATTTAATAAAAGGAATTTCAGTAATTACCTTAGCTGGATAGAAGAGCTTATTCAAAGATGTTTGCGGTTGAGAAATGCATACTTGGAATTGCTCTGGGTAGAGGCAACTGGTCACTGAACTGCTACTGAAACATGGATATTTAACATATTGCTGCAAGATGTATAATAACTGGAAACATATGTTTAGAAGCACCGAGACTCTCTTTGCTTCAAGCAGGCCAGTCTGTAAAAATACAAGAAAAATACAGGCTCAGTATAAAAATAATGATTTGACTTCTTGAAGTCTGAAACAGCAGTCTAAATTATCTTTTTTATAATCAAAGCACTAAACTTATTACCTTTATTTGGGGACATTTATTACATCTCCATATTGAATTTAAAACATATTATTGTTTAAAAATGCACAATTTCTTTATTTTCCTAGTTGCACAGAGAAGAGATTGAAACGGTAAACATTCATGGAACAAGATTTGTCATTGATGGTATGTATCTAACCCTACCATTGGGTGTTAGTATAGCATATCAAAATATTATCCCACTTAGAAAAAGCCAGTTGTTTTTTTTGGCACACACTATTTTTTAACAAATACTTTTTTGGCAGATGAGGAAACATAAACATGTCACTGTGGGGTTTTTTTAATGCTCGATTCTGCTATGGGGCGTGGTATGAGAGCCAGCACTGTAGTTCAACTACTTCAGCTTTTCATAACCATGTTTGACCTGATGTCAGAATCCGTACCCATGTAAGGAGTTAACTATTTCCATGTGTATTTTGTAGCAGTAAACCTCGTTGCTATCTAATAGCTTGTGCACAGGTAGTGGGCAGCCCTTGAAGCAGATGGAGTTCTAGACACCTCAGCAGGCTGGTAGCAGCCCTCCTAGAGGCACAGCATTAGTTTACAGCATCCAAATTAGGGTGTGCCAGATTATAAAGCACTTGGTTCTATGCTGATGTCTTCCTGTTAAATATGCTTTGCATTTTAAATCAGTCATAAAATGGAAGGATTTGCTCTTTTGACAGTTTCTCAGAAAAAGGTCATACAAACTTTTTTTCCATATTGTTTCATTTTCCACTAAACTAATTTACTTTATACATTGCCGCAGCCTGCAAACAAAGGAACATTGCTAGACTGATATACACCAGTACGGTAAATGTCGTGTTTGGAGGGCTTCCTATTGAAGATGGTGATGAGGAAACTGTGCCATACTTTCCAATTGAAAAGGTATTTTGGTTGTATGATGTTTTCAAGTTTCCTCTTGGTTTACTTTCTTGTTTCTGAAAAAGCCTGGAGTTTTCATGACCATGTCTTGCCTGATGCCAGCATCCAGGTACAAGAAAGAAGAAAGAAAACTCTTTATGCTCTTTGTAGATGCTATCCACAACCATGACACATCAGTTTTATGTACATTGCAGTGTATATGTCTTTGTCTCCTATCAACGCCTTGATTTTGGAAAATAACAGCGTCCCGTTAACATTAATGAAATTCCACCTGGACATAGGGATTGTGTTTATGGCTTGGTGCCTCTTTAGCCATTTATTATTTATATGATTTTTCTGTTTCTCCCTTACTGAAGATGATGTATATTCGATGTAGAGTTAATATGGAAAGCAGCCTATTTTTATATGGGTTTATTGCATTTAATTAAAAAGGAGAAAGTACTTCTGTGTGCTTTGCATACAGTTGGGTTCTGTGTCTCTCCTCTCTCCATCAAGTACTTCATAGTCTTTCAAGAAGTAGAGATGGATAGAGAAAACATTGAATAATATTTTGAATAACACATCAAATAATATTTTCTCTGGGACCATACCACAAGAAAGTGAACAGGATAATTCAGACCAGTTGTAATGACTTCAAAACTTGGCTTTTGACTTTTCCATTACCTGAAAAAGAAATCCAGATTACAAAGTAGTGATCAATTACATTCTTGGCAGCATTCAAAGCATACATATATTTATTGCTTCTCAAATGTGCTGAAATTAATTAACTGGATTTGCATAAACAAAAATGCTTGCTTACCTTAGCAATATGCATGTGTTTTATCCTGAACTAATACCCTCAGCTGCTGTATTTTGAGGTATTTTTTGCTATCTGCCAAGTAAAAACTAGTGGAGAAGAGATGCCCCTCTGCCTTGTCATTTCAAGAATAGATAAAAACATATTTGCTTTTTCTCTGTAGCATGTTGATCATTATTCCAGAACCAAATCAATTGCAGAACAAATGGTACTAGCAGCTAATGGAACTCCACTAGCAGGTACTTTTGTTTTAGCATGAATTCATAGTAGAATGTACTCCTCCTCTTCTTCCTCACTAACATCCTGTATCCTGCATCAATCCTTAGTGGACAAGATTGTCCAGCAATTATGAAATCAAGTTATCTACCCTCTCTCACAAATGAAAAGATTTCCACTTAAAAACCACTTTTAATTGTTTTTAAGTTCCCACAATGTCTGTAAAAGGTTTTAGCATGGTAGCAATGAGTTCAGTATGTCAACTGAAAATATGAAGACAGCTATAAGTTAAACAAAAAAAACTGTTCAATGTCACTGTATTATGCAACATAAGTAAAACATGAATGCTGATTAAATTGTTCCCCCTCCCCGCCAAACTATATATTAAAATCTGGAGAAGCCACCTGATACTACAGCCTGGAATTATTTATTAGTGCTTCCCGAAGTTTTCCATGTTGAGGAAGCCAGTTACACACTTGAATTCTTAACCTCACCTGTGAGATTCTATAACTGCCAGTGCAAAACAAATTAATGTAAAGTGCAACATGATTCTATGTGACCAAGTGATACTGAGCTAAATTTAGCTGTAGACCACTTACAGAAAAGACTCTCTTCACTTGATACTTGCAGAGGGCTATAAAGAGATATAAAGTCATTGGTGGGCATTCCATCCCAATAGAATTATTTTGTTTAAAAAATAAAGTTTTCGTTTTTTCCTTATTTCCTCAGCAGCTCTTCACATCAAAGTCCCTCTTAATTTAAGGAGCAGTACACAGTTCTGCATTTGTCAATGAAACCAGAACGAGTCAGTGTTCCAAACATTCCATTTTGATCCTGTGCCATAGCAGGATTGAGCATTTTGCATGTGTTCAAGTACTATTAAGAACAGTTATCAGCAGATGATGGACCAGCCAACTGATATACTTGGGAAGTGACTGGATCTTTATGATGGTCCGTCCTTTCTCCCACGGAAATTATCAAGAGCGTCTACAGCAGTTCTAGTGGGAGCTGGCTGTGGTTGTGCCTACTGTTGAGAGAACCTTTCAGCTCTATCTTGTACTGCTAGTCACTGTTTCCCATCAATAATTTTGTATGAGATTAGTTGGTTTCATTCTACTTTCCTACCAAGAAATTGCTCACTTCAACAAACTCATCACCACAGTTGGCACATTCATTCACTGCTTTGGCACAGACACAAAGGACTGGTTAGAAAGAGGTTTTCAAATATCGTAATTTCTGGGAATCCAACTATGCTGGCAGGACTTCTCTGAACCTTATCTTGCTATTTTGCATGTTCTGATTCTGCCAACGTAATATCCAACTACTAATTCAACAGCTTTTGGTATGTATTATCTTTTAAGATGGTGAAGTTAATTTATTTCAGAGTAAGTTCTGCTACCACGATCTTTGGTTCATACAAAGATAAAATGTAGTCATGTGAAAGTCACTTAAGAATGATCTTATCGATTCTTCTAGGAGGTGGAATACTTTATACGTGTGTTCTTCGCCCACCAGGAATCTATGGACCAGAAGAGCAAAGACACTTGCCAAGGCTGGCAGTATGTATTTTAATTTTTTAATCAGCAGAATTTTATATGATATACAACAGCATCACTCATTTGTGATTGACTGAACTTCTTATTGGGCAGCAATTCAACAATTCAATTGCCTGCCGAGGATATTATAACTTTTGTTGATAGGCACTATATTATATCTGTAAAGAATGTATAGTACATTAAAAAAGCCTTTTTTTGAAACACAAACACATGTTAAGTCTGGCTTTATAATTTAATGCTTACTATAATGGTAAGATTCAGGCCAATCTATGATATTTCAAATGTCTGTTTGCATGCAACTTACACCTAATGGTTTAAAATATTAATGAAAAGAGAGATGGCAAAATATCTTATTTCCAGTCTCAACTATTAACAGCTTTCACTATCCGATGAAACAAGTTAAGGAGTGGGAAGCACCTTCTGGTACAGTAGGTTACTAAAGGGCAAACAGCTGAGGTGCTCATGTTTCACTCTTTTTCGCTTGCTGTCTTTTAAATTGTAGGACTAGTACAGTATTCAGCATATGATCCCTGTAGAATTATATCAGTCAGTTATTTTAACAGCATCAGTACAATATAAAGTTACACACAGCTTTGAGGAAATAATAGATTCAAGCTTACCACATAATAAATTTTTTGTTTTGTGGCTGAGGTAGGGAATTATATTGAAGCCAGCCAAAATATACTTTATCATCTTCTGAATAGAATAATTTTTAAGAATAGCAAATGTCATTTTGTTTAAACCTGAGATGTTTGCTTTTGCCCCCCCCCGAAACTGTCACGTTTCACAGCTTCTAAAATGTACCTGTTAAATGAAAAAATGTGACACCTAGCGTTACCTTCCATTTTTTCCCAGCCAAAGCTATTTGTTAAATTTCATCAAATTCTGTGAATACTTTTTATCCATTCAGAACTGTATCCTACATTTCCATGCAATATTTTACTCACCCTTGGAACAGACTTGTATTTTTTGTAAATTCAGGACGTATTGTGTTCAATACGTTCTTTGATCCTTCCTCATGAGCAAAATTTTTAGAGCTCTCTGCACTTCTCTTGATTCTTTTAATTGATTCATGTATTTTTTTAAAGTAGAGATAAACCTACATTTAGCTGGATAAGAAAGTGCACTGTACATCATTTTAAAACCCATTTTGCTTTGTTTTCATGTTTGTTTATGTCTACAGAAGAATATTGAGAGAGGCCTACTTAGCTTCAAGTTTGGGGATCCTTCTGCTAAAATGAACTGGGTGCATGCAGAGAATCTTGTACAAGCTCAGATTCTAGCTGCTGAGGCTCTCACCCCTGAAAAGAACTACATAGCTGTAAGTAAACAATAAAAGCACGACAGTTTTCATTTGACATTGGATCCTGGTACTGAATCCTGTACTATAGTAACTACTGCAGTAGCAGTAATTAATGTTTGTGTTATTGTCCTTTAGCTTATGTTGTTGTCTGTGTTTTTAGTTTACAAATGTGCTATGAAGAGGGTGGGACCTGGCAGCATTGGCTGTGCAGTGTGTTAAGAGTTGGAATATTCCGTTCTGTAAGAATATCTCCATCTTTGCATTTTCATAATATAATATTTGCCATTTCTGGAAAAAGAGTAAAGTATGTTTGCTATGTTGGAAGTGAATTTGGAAGTTCAAGCAGATTTATCTCCTGCTCCTCTGTATATAGATCTGGACTTAATGTTCTGAACTGTGATAATCACTTCTTCCCATACCGTATGCAAATAAAAGCACATTTCATTTGGGTTCGTGGATTTCAAAAATAGTTGCAACTGTTTTCCTCCTTGTAAATACACTTTTTTATTTGACCTGGAAGCACTACCCTTAAAGTATATTAGAAAGATTTTCAGAGTAGGTTAAATTACTTTTTCCAAAACCCTAAAAGCAAAATGGAAAGAGGTGACTTACGCCTTGATTACACAGATGGAGTCTTATGGATTTCAATGAGTCTTAACTGGACCGAGAGCAGAACATGTCCCACCCCATATTTGGTGAATATGCATTAAGAGCACAAGTTAGATAACGCACCACTTCCAGTGCATTTGGTAATCTCTGTATAGTCCGTACAGCCATTCTGTATAGGCACACCTGTAACAAATAATTTATACCAAGGCACATTAATTACAGAAACCACTTGTCCACCAATTTCATTGCATGTTAGTGCAACTGATTGAAACACGTGTAGATAGTTTGTTGACTTGTATGTACAGCCATGCATATTTTATATTGCTATATTATTTTTAAGCTATTCATAAGGAGTGAGATAAAGAAGTCGATATATATGCAGTATTATTTTTGCTAACTTATCTCTTCTCTACCTCTCAACAGAGTGGCCAGGTGTATTTCATTAATGACGGCGAAGAAGTCAACCTTTTTGAATGGTTAACTCCACTTGTACGTGCAATATATACTTCATCTCCAAATACATTAATTTCTTTGACTGTATACAACTCCAGCTTTTGTGTGCATGTAACATTTGGTATGTTTGCTTTGGGTGTCAGAATTCCGTTCTGAATGTGGGTTTAATTCCTCCTTGAAGTTCAGTCTGATTAGCGCTGTAACAAAGCCTACCTAAAATACTACATTAAAGCAACTGTCTCCACTGAGACCAAAGGACCATCTAAACCAGTATCCTTTTTTGAGTTGCCATGATCTTCAGTTCTTGGACACGTTTCTGTAAACAGTGGCTATTTTGGGTGGACAAAAAATATGAATACTAATTATTAATCTGTAATATACATTATTTTCAAAGATCATTTCATTGCTAATGATGTGCTCAAAACCATAAATATGTCACAATGTTAAATTAGGTATCAGCACACCATGACATTTTGATCAATTATTATAAACTTTTTTTTCCTCCTTTTTTTAAGACTGCCACTTGAAAATTACATAGTGTCTGCATGTGACATTTAACTGGAAGCCTCTGAAAATGAAAACTCAAATAGTAACAGCAATGATGAATTTTTCTGTTCTATCAGTAAATATTTCCACAAATATCTTCTGTATCAAAACTTTAAAACTTGATTGAGGTTTCTGGTTTTTTTCACTGTTTTTTAAATCTCTTTCAGTTTGAAAGATTAGGTTGCAGTAAACCACGGATACGTATTCCCACATCCTTAGTTTATGTATCAGGTAAAAACATTATATCAATATTTCTCTTTCCTGTCCACACTACCCTCATTCCTAGTTGTAATATACTGTTGGAGTCTTTTTAATTTGCCCACAATTTTCATTTGCATGTATAAAAATAATATGCTGTGGGCTCATCTAGTGTGCAGCAGTTAGGGGTGAAGTTCAGCTCTATGCAGTGTGTTGAAAACAGAATGTTCTCTTATTTAAGTTCACAAAAACAGGTTTTATGTAGGATTTAACAGATGTATAACTTTGTGGAGTTAATGGTATAAATATAAAAGTTAAATGTAAAAATCCATGACTTCATGAAATATGCTGAAGAGTATCTGCTTTGCTGTGTGGATAAATTTCTTGTTCTCCTGTATCCCATGCTCTTTCTAGAATCAACCCCCATGTGCAGCTAAGACAGAATCCAACTTTTGAGTATTTTGTTGTTACCACATTCTTTATGAAGTCTCATGATCTTTTCACTAGACCTGTCACCAACCCTCCAAGCCCTTTTCACCCAAGCACCCTAATGCAGGCTGACTGAAGTACTAAGATTAAATCCAACCCCTGGTGAGCAAGTAGTCCTGTTGATGTTAGTAATGGTGCTCTCAGCTCTTAGGTAGGCGATTATCCTTCTCTATCAAAGACAGCGCAAGATACACCAAAATCATAATAGTACAGCAATTTACCGCTCTTACCTCAAGCAGAAATCTTTTGTTACGCAGCCATGACAATGGAATACCTTCATCTGATGCTGAAGCCCTTTGTTGAACTGTCCCCACTGCTGACCAGAAATGAGGTAAAGTCTTTGTTTGTAAACTCCCCTTAATTCTCACAGAATGCATACATGCATGTTAATACTGAGGTACAATTTAAGATTAAGTCAGTAGAAAGTAAAATCCACCCAGTACTACTTCAGCCTCCAGCTTCCACGGCAAATGTATGCATTGTGTACATTTTAGGCAATATATTACCCTTATTACCGTAATCTTTGAAAAGACAAGAGCTTCTGCTTGCAATCTGGGAGAGGCTCCTTCAGCTCCTTCCTTCCACAGCCCAGTATCCTGTATGGCTTTGGCTAGTCAGTTGGGCCCTAATTTCTGAAGACCTGTAGGCACCTAAGAGATAGCTTTTATCTGCCTCCTCAGGTACATAAATGAGTGCAGAACACTTTTTGTGGATGTTTTCAAGGCTAAAAGATTCTCCTTTGCAGCTTTTACAGCCTCTTTGGGCTTTCGAGAGTCTCCTTTTGAGTGAACAATTTTAAAGATAATGTGATGTACATCAATAGGACATCGATATAATGTTGTAGGTTTTATTTTACTTTTCCTTTAACTGTCTTTGCTACCATTTACAGACTTTGCTCCAATTTCCTATGTATTCATATCTTTGTATGTTCACTCTTTTGCCCTATAGGTACAGAACGTTTCTATAACTCATACATTTCGAATAGACAAGGCACGAAGTCAGCTGGGGTACAGCCCAGAGAAGTTTGCATTTGCTGATTCTGTGGACCATTACATTAAAACAAGACCAGAAACCCAGAATCATCACATCTTCCTCAAAGTTTTGCTTTCTTTAATTGTCAGTTTAAGTTTGATCTTTCTTTCTTTAAGATTTGATGGCCTTTCAGTTTTGCACTTTTTTAAAGAGACACAACACTGACTTGCATAAACTGCGTGTAATCAGTCACAGTACTGCTCCGTGGATCATTGTGATCTCCGCAAGTTACTGGCCCCAATGCAATAAACAAACAGCTATTTTTAGATTTAAAAACAAAACTGTAACATATCAGTAGCTGTACTTGAAAAATTAAAATACAGTAAGCAATTACAGCCAAATCACTGAAACACACTGGAGTCAAGATTGTTTCATCTGTTTGTTTCACACCAAAAAAACAACTTTCCAAAGCGATTGCTGAAGTAAATGAGAACCTGCAGAAAGAACAAGAACTACAGCCAGCCTGCAGTACTTCACCGGTGAAGAAAAATGGCTAAATAAGGAGAAAGATTGACCACAGCTGCTGCCATGGCTCACTGCCTTGGGGAACTGAGGAACAAGCAGAAGGACCGACAGAACCAATTAAATAAGACATACCAGCTGTACAGAGAGAGTTCACACTGTGTGAATTTCTTTTGTGAATTACCTGTATCGCTGCATATGAGGGAAAATAAAAGTGTACTTGAATCTTCACTGCAGTCAGTCCTGTGCCTCTGTGCAGACTGTTCCAGAACCGCTCCCCGCCCTACCCCTGGGGTGCAGATCACTGCAGCAGTTTGCAGGCCTAGGGGGCACATGCAGGTATGGTTTTTCGTGAGTCAAAACTGGTTTTTAGTTAAATTGGAAGTTATTGAGTTACCTTTAAGTGCATTTATATCACAGTAAAGGGATCTGCCACTATGAGTTGCATTAATCTTTGTGCTGCTTCCTTTACCTCCTGTAGTTATTGAGGACAACAATAAAGTTTAGTTGCTTCTCAGCTGAACTTTAGGTACAACTGTATTTTTGCACCTAATTTCTGAAGTATGGCAGTTGTACTGAGCAAATCCCTGCAGTAGCTAAAGTGAAAAATGTGCTTGTTGAACTACTGTTCAGCTAAAATGTGCCTAAAAACCAGGCAGCCTGGAAGGCCCGACTCCCTCTCATCTGCCGCTCGTGCTGGTGATTTATCAGAGAAATCTTCCTCCCCTCTGCACCTTTTCCAGCTTGTAACACGGTGAGGGAACAATCAAGAGCATGATGTGAGAATAAAGAGTGAGCCCGGGAAAGGAGGGATGAGACAGGAGATCTACAGGAATCAAGGGGGGGGGAGTACTTATAGACGGATTTGAGAATTCTGGAGAAGGTGAGAGCGCTTAGACCTCCCCTCAGCCGCCTCAGTGCAGGGCAGGCAGCAAAGGCCACGTGCAGGGCCTACAGGTTGAGGGTGCAGCAATCCACACACAGCACAGGAAGGCAGAACTGCCAAAATTAGTATTTCTGATTTTATTTTTAAGTCGAACGACAGGCCGCTTTCCTCAGTACATCCTACATTCCATACTTCCATTTTAACGAGTGTGACTGGCAACCCCCACTCCGTCCCAAGCGATCGCGGGAAGGCCAGGCGGGCCCGGCCCGGCCCG